AGCTGCAGGCGCCAGATACGAAAAGGTCAGGGATCCTCAAAAGGTGGGTTTACTCTTGGATTCCCTTTGAACCCAATGGAACTCTCGAAAAACAAACAAAAAATAACCACCCATGTAGGTCCCTTGCTTGGGGATCCAATTCTTATTTTTAGGTGTTGGATGCTATGGGAGAGTTTGCAGAGTTGCCACTATGTTTTGCATAAAAATGAAAACACGCAGGGGAAGGGGGGGTCAAGGGAGGGGGGTACATGAAAATAATATGGACCCCCCAGAATGGGCTCTCACACGTGGCGACTCCTCTGATTCGTCCAGGATTTATCTGAGGGATCATTAGAGTTACCATTGTCCCAGTGCTGTTGGGCAAGCCAATGTAGACTTTTATTTGTTGAGCAAACCATGTGGTGAACTTAAATTCAGTGTTCCTCTGGGACATCAACCACCTCTGGGAGTAAGTCTACCTGGATGTGAACGAAAACATGGAACCTGAGCCGCTGTGACATAGGGGTGTGTTAAGGGGGGTTTCAGGCCGCTTGTGTTTCTTCCAGGGGATGCTTTTGCCATGTGGTATCACAGTGGGCCAGCCCAAAGGGGCTTGCAGCGGCAAGGGGTCAGGCGTTTCGATCCTTGAGCCCCGTTCAAGCGTCGCCTTCCAGCCCTTATTTCGTTTCCTGGCCAGGATTGCTTAAGAGTAAGAGTCAGAAGTGACTGAGGCAGTTGTTTCCCATTCAGCTTGTGTTGCCGCCCTTTTCTTTTTGCGACATGGATTGGGCCAGAGACCCAACCAACAAAAACCAGCCAACCAACGAAGCAACTGCAGAGGAAATGTGAAATGATTACCTGGGTGGCATATGTTTGCATCAGAGTTGCTCTTTTGCCATTTTGCTCTGGCAATTCGCGTGGTGGCTGCTGTGGGGCCGCTCGTTGGTTTAGTCTGGGGGGCCCGCGGGTTGGGTACCCGGCCCCGCCGGTGTGCGCCAGAACGCTTCGAGCACGCTCTTCGAAGCTCGGACCTTGGTGGACCTCCAGGGCGAGGCGCGAAAGAGACGTCGCCGCGAGAAGTCAGGCCTCCAGTGGCAGGGGTATCTTTCCCTCAAAGGCCAGGTCAAACGGTCAAACACGTCCACTTTTCGGACCAGTCGTGGGTGATTTCTTTCCCTCTTGGGTGATGTTTCGGGGGGGACCTGTACAGAACCCTCATTTCGACCGGGCAGCTGGTATCAAGCCGGCCTCGCACACGCATCCCCGTTTGAGATGCATCAGCATTTCAACAAGCAAACTTATGTTACATGGGTTTCCCCCTGTTGCCATGAGAGGACGCATGCTTTCCGGTGCTGGTTCGCAGGTGTCAGGGAGGGGGGCGGGGACGGAAAGGACTTGCTGAAAGCAGCCAGGTGAAAAGGGTAGCCAGGTGCACTGGCAAGCCGGGCCAGTGTTCAGTCCGCCCTCTCTCAAGTTCGTTTCGCATCCATGGGCCTCAGGCCCTGGTGAGAAACGCCACGTCGCGCGGCCTGTGCGTGACCCTGGCCAAGGAGCACTGGAAGGTTCCAAGGCGGCGGCACAGAGGCGTAGGTTTTGGAGAGCCCGCCTGAACGAGATTTGCCAAGCTTGTCTTGTTCTCAGTTTCTCCTCTTTGCTCAACAGCAAGACGGGAAAGGGAGTCCAGCCTGGGATGCAGATGGTGAGGATTCTGTTCTGAGCCACCTGGGCTTACAACAGAAGAGCTTCACAGACAAGGTTCAGCGAGGCCCATCCAGCACACCCCAGGCCAACACGCTTTCAGGGGCATGGCTTGTTTCCTGTTGCTGGGGGTGACAGCACCATGCATTTTGAAGCAGGGGCTATGCATTTGCTTTTGCTGCAGTGTTTGTTTTTTTGGGATCACCACTTGTTTCGAAATGGATGCTGCCATGCGTGGCACCAAAGAACCACAAGATCCAGCTTGAAGTGAAGGGACGGTTGATTTCCAGCTCCCTGGTGTGCTACTTTCTCCGCTGTGGATGCGCCAAACCCTGCACCAGTTGGTAGATGGCTTGTCACAGTATTCATAGGGCTTCATCCCAACTAGGACAGGATTTTGTCCATCCACAGGTAGCATCCACAGTATGAATTGCCTGTAGCGCGTCTCACCAAAGGCGCTTTCTCTTGTGGGACGGTCAACTTTCCACAGAACTCATCGCCACGATGGTGCGGGTTTCCCGGTCCCAAGACACACGGTTACAAGGAGCTGGGTTTGCTCTTGCCATTTTGACCAGCTTTTGCACGAATGCAAATGTTCCGATTAGGAAAGCCATGGCCCTGATCCACACAGTTCGTTCCTGATTCAGAGCCAAGGCAAGGGGAGCCGTCGCAACCCCAATAGTGACTTTTTGTGGCGGGCTGCGCCTTGCGAGGACAGCATCACGGAGCGCGCGATGAAAGTCAAAACCGCCGGGGACAGAGATGCCTTGGAGCTCTTGGAAGAGGACATGCAGGAACGCGCCAGGACAGGGGTGGGAGGGGAGAAGCGGTGCTCTACATCAGCAGAGCCCAAAACCCAAGTTTTTTTTGGTCCCCACCCGACAGAAAGGGGTTGTTAGATTTTATGTTGGAATCCGCGTTTGCGATGCTTCTACACCACGCCCCCACCCAGTATCCCGCCAGAGCAGCTCGCCAGTGGATCCCGCCGAGTATCCCGCCAGAGCAGCTTGCCAGTGGATCCCGCCGAGTATCCCGCCAGAGCTTCCCGCCAGAGCGGCTCACCAGTGGATCCCGCCGAGTATGCCACCAGAGCAGCCCGTTAGTGGATCCCACCGAGCATCCCGCTGAGTATCCCAGAGTAGCTCGTCAGTGGATCGCGCCAAGCATCCCGCAGAGTATCCCAGAGTAGCTCGCCAGTAAATCACGTCAACTATCCCGCTGGTGGATCTTGCCGAATATCCGGCCAGTATCGAGCCGGAGCGGCTCGCCAGCGTTCGCCAGTGGATCCCGCCAGTATCCCGCCAGAGCAGCTTGCCAGTCTGGTTTTGCTTAATGCCCCGCCCGGCGCACAGTTGGGTTTACATTTCATGTTGGTGCCTTCGTGTTTTGAGTGCAACCTAGGGCTCGGAAAGGGAGATGCTTTTGTGTTGCTTTTGGCTGTGAATAAGCAACTTCGTTTAATCCCCCGTCGGGTTTCTTTTTGAAAGGGGCTTGGCTTTTGTTAACGGAACCGATGTTTGAGTTCTCGAGATCGGCTCGCAGACAAGTGGAGTTTGACACACAGACAGGTGGATAAGGCTCTCAATGCAAAGCCTGTTGAGCAGTCATAGGCCCCAAGCCACTCGAAAACCATGCTTGAATTCACACAACCGTGTTCACGGTTGTAAGCTCGTGAGTGTGGAGGGTGGGGATTGCTCGAAGCGAAGTATTTTTTTAAAATAGGTGCAGTTCGACCACATTGGCTACATTGTTTGTGTAGCCATCATATGGTTAAAAACCCACATATATCATAGAAACCTTTGTGGTCATTTTGTCAATTGGTTTTTGGGGCCTCTCCATTGGGCCAAGGACCTGTTGAAACATAGTTGGGCTATTTGTTTAAAATACATCTTCTTTGGAGGCCAGGACAGCGCGTGCTCCTCACCTCTGTGATGCTAGCGGGACCCCCCTAAAAAGAGCTAGTCATGAGGTCTACGCATGGTATCGCAGAACTGGGCAATTCCAACCCTGCGCCAGCATCATCATGAAGAGCATGGAGAAGTGAGGTCGTGGGTTGCTTCCGAGCGAGCCAGCGGGAAAACTTGGTCGTGGTGGCAGTGCAGTAATTGCTGTCACGCATCCAAACCGCCAATGGAGAAGGTTTCAAAAAACGTAAGTGAAGCCCAAACCGAAGACCATTTGCATCAAACTGACTATATATCGAGTACTAAGAATGATGTCAAAGCTGGGGTGAGCTAGCTTAGGGAGGTCGAAAAGCGAACCCGCAAGCAGGACCGTTTTTTTAGATCCTTTCATGACAAACGACAGTGACGAGGCGATACTGGGGCAACAAGACAGCGAAAGCACGCGCACGCGCAGGCAAACACACACACACACAGACAACCACTCAATGGTTTTTTTTTGCGGACGTCCTTTGGGCTAGTTATTGGCCGGCTGGCCAGCGCATCGGGCGAAAAAGGTGTGCAGGGTGAGTGGGGTGGGGAGTCGGGAGCACTCACTGCTTTCAATGATGGCTAAACGTGGGGGGGGGCATTTCATGTCACAAGCCTCTCATATTGCTCTGCAAGCACCCGGAAAAGAAGCTAAGGGAAAGATGAGGCCGATGGATCGAGCTTTTGACCCTTGGGTTTTCGGGGTGCCTTCCACGTCTACCTTGCAGGTTTTGCTTCCCCCCCCCCCCCCGGCCTTTCCGCTTCGCAAGCCGAAAGTTCGGCTAAGCGGCTGCATGTCAAAAGCATCCTTTCTCGTCATATGTCTTGTTTTTCCCAAAATGAATCCAGAAGGAGATGGGAGCAGTCTTTTTCGTTTTTCAGACCCGTTTTCAGAGATGGGAAACACTGGGAAACACTGGGTAAATGGAACTTGGCGAGCCTTTACCTTAGAGGTACCTTAAACACCCCCCCTCCCTCACAGGGCACGCACTGTGACTGATTTCACCTTTTCGCTGGCGACATGAGTGCCCGGGGTGCGCTGCAACATGCCCAGTTGCGGGCGGCCATGTGCAGCACTTTGTCGTGCACGACTCTGGAGCCTTTGAACCAGGTGATGGCTAAGTCAGCAAAGAAGGAAATTACTCATTTTTGCTTGGGCCAACGTCATGTTCATGTGTACGCATGATCCACCAAAGGTGCCTTATCAAAATTCCCCCCCCCCCCCGCAAACTATGGTGGCCATCGTCATGTGCTGAGGAGTAGGGGGCTTTGAAATGGCTGATAGTTCCGTCACTTTCCTAAATAGAACCACCCATCGTGACATTCCAATGCTGGTCCAGATCTGTTCAAGCACCCGCAGCCCAGCCCCGAGCTGAGCAAAAGCGGCCGCAGGCCGAGCAGATGGAGCAGATGCGCCGTGACCTGCGCTATGCCTTGCAAGAGCTGCGCCGGCCTTCCGTGCCGGCCTCGAAGCGCGGGCTCTTTTGCGCCTCTCAAATGAGAGGCGGAGAGGGTGAGGGGTTGGGGAGTCCTCCCTTTTTGGTTGATGTTCATGGTGAATGTATCCTTTTTTAACGGGGGAGGGTGGTGAGTTGGTGGCTAGTTGTCGTTTTGGTTGGGGTTTTAGCGTTTCGGCGTGTGATGTTGCCTTTTTTGGGGGTTGCTTTGGCAGAAAAGCCGGCAGACAAGCTAGGAGCCTTAGGGCCGTGACACGGGTGAGGCAGGAGGTGTCTCAGTGACGTCACAGAAGTCACAAAGGCGGTTTGGGGAGCGGTCTGGAAGACTAATCTGCTTCATCCGCACTCTTTCCCAGTCCCCACGTTTTCAGCGTAATGTTGTCCCCGGATGAAATTCATTTGCCCTAGCAATGCAGGGCGTCATTCCCCAGTTAGGCACGCTTTGCAACACAAACACTTGGAACCCAGTAGCGCAAGCTCCGCGCGTGGCGACCTGCCACTGGGAAGGTCAGCATTCACCATGCCCTAGCCGCGTGTCTTCAATGTGCCGGGAAGGCCACCAACACTCTTCTGAAAATGACTCTTGAACAAACAGCCCATTGAGGAGCCCCCAACTATGGGTTCCATGTGAAACCCAACTATGGGTTGCCGAACCCCCCCCCCCCCCCCCCGCGCTTCAGCCCGCGCCCGCGCGGAGACTTGGCTCAAGGGACATCCGCTCGAGGGAGAGATGCAGAGGACCCAAGCGTGGCAGATGGGAAGACGTGGCTGGAGAACCGAGGTGCTTCTTGTCTTGCAGGTGTTGTGTGACTAGCATGACGTGTGGATGGTGTCTCCTTGCCAAGACAAGCGCCGCGGCTCTTGTCGGGGCCCTTGGCATTCCCTACACGCGCTTCATGGCACGTCCGGGCCATGTTCAGAACCGGTCGAAAGTCTTTTGAAAGGCTCGCTACAGAGAAGCCCTGAGAAACACCAACCGGAGTTGAGCCTTTCTTCACACCTGGTACGTTTTATGCCTGGCGCACCTGGCGTTTGCGTTCGCCCTCGTTGTTTTCCAGGATGTGGGTCCTGGCCGCGCTGGCGTTGTCTGCCTGGGCAGAAGGCAGCTCGGGGTTTGCTTCGGAGGCGTGATCTCCCACCCTGCACCCTCTGAGGAAACCAAAGCAACGACAGACACCCTTTTGGGAAAGCCCCTTTGCAGGTTTCATGTTAATTGGTGGGCGGGTATAGGGACTACAGGTTGAGTCTGCAACCCGCGTGTCCGCAAAGACGTACGGGAAGCGCACAATGAAAGGCCTGAGCTGAGCCCAGTTTCGTGCGGGCAAACTGCTCTCGTGCCGCGCCTCCGCCAGAAACGACCACCAGCACGCCAGACCTCTCGAATCTCTACAGCCAGGATGTGGCCCAACAGTGCGTCACCATGAAGCGTCTCGCCAAGCGGGCAAAACACGGGCGAAATGCGGGCAAACCGCAGGCCTTTCGGGTTTCGGATGCTTACTGGAATTTGGAATGCGGGAACCCCTTTTTCATGTTCAAGGGTTGTCCCACATCAACAACGTAGTTCCTAGCACACACCTGTTTCTGGGCCATGGTGAGTAGTTGCGGGTTCGCTGTTTAGCTCTGACGTTGCAAGGCAACCCTATCCCCCCACGCACCCACTTTCCTTCCATCATAGAAGTGGGCTCGAAATAGACAGGCTTTTGGAGTACCAAGTGCAGAGCAGAGAGCGCCTTCGGTGCTGGAACCCACCAGTGGAAATTCCTGCCTTCCAAGTTAAAACACGGGAAATTGGATTTTCCGACGTTCCGACGAGTGGTTTAGACCGTACGCGTATCAAACTTAGGAACTGCCAGTTGCCCGGCCACTTGCTGAACCGTGGCTTCTGCGTCTCCAAGGAGCCGACAAAGGCGGACTACACCGGCAAGGGCCAGTATTGCAGCTTGCCAGATGCCGGCCGTTATATATATATATATATATATATTATGTATATCTATACACACTGTATACATGTATATATATATATGCGTTATATTATGTAGGCTGGATATAAACAAGTATTTATCAGGGAAAATGCGCATATGCAGAAAACAGGGTAGCCAAAAGGATACATCTTGGCAATTTGCTCATGAGGGCCATGGAGCGGCACCCCAGTTTCATATTGTGACGGGGGCACGTCTAGAGCCTCCAAATTTGCAAACCGCCCATGAGCGAGCCCGGCTGGGCTGAGAATGGCGGATTCCCTCCCTTCCTGGGAACGAATTGCGAAGTGCCCCGCATGTTGCTCCCGTTTGCCAAGCAAGCAAAGATTTGGGGGGGGAACCATTCATGAAGATCAAGCAGAGCAGTCACAAAGTTGCTAAATCAGTGTTGCAGGCCAGAACCCACTGAATCTACTCTAACCCCCCCCTCCCTCTCAACGCGGCCTTGTACATATAACTCGCGCTGAGGCTGGGATGTGTGCAATCCGCCGCTTGGTGCTGAACAGAGTACGGCTTTGGCTGGGGGCGACAGATCCAATACAAACCTGCACCCAGCTGCCCACAAACTGACCGACCGACCACTGGAATGAAGACCTACCCCCCATGCCGTTCCCCGTTTGCTTGGCAGGGGCTGTGCATGCGCAAAAGCGGCCCCTGTCTGCCGAGCTGAACAAACGTATACCTCTTTTCAGTTGCGCCTGGGTCAGAAGTCTGAATGGGTTACCTATGTTCAAGCGCCTTCATATAGAAAGCATTTCGCACGTGCTGATGTCAACTTGCATTTGTTCCTCAAACATTCTAGCAGCATGGGCTGGGGTCGATCCTGCTATTGCCCTCCGTTGGGCCCATCAGCATGGAAGAGGTACATGTTCCCAAGCAATTTGCCTGATAAGTTGAAATTCGCCCCATTTCCAACATGTCCGTTTGAATCCGTTGCCATTTACCATTCAGCGGTGAGAAGTGAACAGGTCCAAGCTTGTCAAGCTTCGAAGCGCGAAACCCACCTGAACTGCTCGCTCCTGTTTTGCCGATCTGTTCTTTTCCCTGAGGGCCCGTGCTGGCAGATTTCCTGCAGAGACTGGCCGATTTTCCCCGGATATTTGTTTCTGGTGTTTTGGCCAGTTCGCACACCTTGGTGCCGGGCTGCTCGCGAGTTCGCGAGTTCCGGTGCCGAGGAACCACGAGACCACGGAGTACACGGTCAACGGCAACGGGGAAGGGGACCTTGCCAACCACGTCTCGCAGGCGGCGAGCGAGTCGCTCAAAGAAGGAGCCCCTTGCCCAGCGTGTGCCTCCCTTGGAATTCGCGGTAAAATGAGCTCAACCATGAAGGTTGCTTAAATTGGAATTCTGATTTCAGGTTACCAGATTTGTGAGTCGCAATAATTTGCCCAGTTTCTTGGGAAGCTGTTGTCAATTTTGTTTCAAGCTTGGTGAGCAAACATGCTGAACTCGCCCGGGCCCTTTTCTGGAGACAATGTTCAGCAGGTCAAGACCATGGCGCATGACTGAGAGGTGATCTTTGCTGCTCGCGGCTAGCCAGTCCTTCAACAAATGGGTGTGTGTCAAAATAGGGAGACCCCCAAACTGGCGGTTTTCTCTTTAAAACCACCCCAAACAGGATACGTACCCTCAAACAACCCCGTGCTTGCTGGCTGGGGCCCACTAACGGCTGCTGACGCAACTTGTCATGGTGTTTCATGGCCATCAAGCCTAGCCCGGGGGGTAGAAAGATCACCTGAGTCCCATTTCCTTCCCAGTAGTAGATTAAGGTAATTTTTCCAGAGTTCAAGTTTTACTTGCGTTTACCTCAAAATTGGAGACCCCTCCAGGTATGTGATGTCCTTTTGGCTGTCCCCTGCAAAACCCCTATTTTGAGAGACACCCCGCCTGACCTGGCCTTGACCCGCAGGCGTTGGTGGCCCAGGTGCGGGCAGGGATCAACAACAACATCACCTGCCCCAAGGCCTTCGCGGCGTTTCCGACGCCCGTTTGAAGGCCGAAATCCAATCGAAACCGACGGCGGGAAGGCCGCTGACTGGGGTCTCCTTCAATGTGTGTGTGTGTGTGGGACGGCTTGGGTGCACTCAGCCAATTCCAACCCGCATCCCCCACAGGACAAACATGGGGTTCAGGGCTGGGACCCTGCTCAGCGCAAGCACGCGTGCGCGTCATGGCAAGGCCAGCCCCGCAATCAATACAAGCAGGCGCTTCCCAACTTGGAGCCCCACGAGCTAGTCAGGCCCGCCACCCGCACAGGTGCAGACGAGTCCACCCGGGCCGGCATTAGGGCAAGACGGCGTGACATCCTAGCCAGCGAGGCAACCCAAAAGGCTCTTCCCGCACCGATCTCGCGCTGCAGCACTAGGCCGGGAAACGTGCAGCTTGCAGAGGGGGCAACCTTGAGCATCTCAAGGCTTCCCGCATGCACACGCACCGGCAGCAAATGAGGGAGGCCTCGCACAGGCAGCGGTCCCCCCTGTGAGCTGCACACGGCACAAGCATTATGCCCTTGGCGTGACGCGCGCTGCCCCACAGAAAATGGGCACCACCCCGCACCAAAGGGGGGGGTCTCCTTCAAGATTTTTGAGGGTAGGGATGGGTGGGGTAAATGTGAACATCTGAGCATCTGTGCGCCCCAGATGGCCAAGTTTGTGAGGCGCGCGTGCTTCAGGCCCTCTCATAGTGGCAGCGACTCGGGGTTGAAGGTGTTGCCTCGAAAAGTCAATAGTGGGCCATCAGCCCGTCCACGGTGGTACGGTTCAAGAGTAATCTTTACGAGCCCTTTAGAACATGCCGTAACCATGCATTCCGTTTAAAAGTTGGGGAGTGGGGTTTGCCAACTTATGTGCGGTGTTTCGTATGTAGGGGTATTTCTTTTGGGGCATGTATCCTTCCAATAGTTGGCTATCTAAATATCGCAAGCAGGAAAACAAGCAGCATATTGTAGTCTTTGGCTTCCGTGAAGTGTGTATTTTTATGTTTGCTCTAAATATGTGCACAACTCTTGTGGTTTCTGTAT